ACCTCCCACCTTGTCTTAGATCCACACCCTTCCCATCTCACCATGACCTCCCACCTTCTCTAGATCCCTCACCCTCCCATCTCACCATGACCTCCCACCTTCTCTAGATCCCTCACCCTCCCATCTCACCATGACCTCTCACCTTCTTGCCTCCCATCTCACCATGACCTCTCACCTTCTTGCCTCCCATCTCACCATGACCTCTCACCTTCTCTAGATCCCTCACCCTCCCATCTCACCATGACCTCCCACCTTCTCTAGATCCCTCACCCTCCCATCTCACCATGACCTCTCACCTTCTCTAGATCCCTCACCCTCCATCTCACTCTAACCTCTCACCATTCTCTAGATCCTCACCCTCCCAGTCTCACCATGACTCCCACCTTCTCTTTAGATCCTCACCCTTCAGTCTCACCACTAGCCTCTCGACCTTCTTGCCTCCCAGTCTCACGCGGCCTAACCTCTCACTTCTCTAGTCCCTCACCCTCACCTTCACAATCTCACCCTACTCCACTTTTCTGCTCCCACGTGCCAGGAGAATGCGCAGCGAGCCTGGCCGAGACCCGCGTCGACTCATCGCGATGTTAGGTGTCAGCACCGTAGACGGAGCACGGGTCGGGCGTGCCGGCACGGGCCGCCGCGTCATCTCCAGGTGTCACCGGCCGTGCTCAGGGCCCCCGCCGCGCGAACGGACACCAGGCGGCCCAGCGCGTACGGAGCAGCGTGGTTGTCTCGCTAGTGAATCATGCCTGTGAGCGCACGCTGCCAAGTATATGCGGAAGAGAGAGAGCTAATCAACGAAAACACAGAGAGGCACGAGGAGGGAGAGGAGAGAGAGGGGGAGAAGGAGTAGGGAGAAAGAGGGGGAGAGAGCAGAGGGAGATGAGACGAAGAGCCTAACAACAAAACTAGAGAGAGAGAGAGAGAGAGAGAGAGAGAGAGAGAAAGAGAGAGAAGATAGATCCAGAGAGGGAGGAGGGAAGGGGATGAGAGAGTGGGAGACGAGAGATGAGAGAGAGAGAGAGGGAGAGAGGAGAGAGGAGAGAGAGAGAGAGAAGGAGAGTCAAGCATGTTGACAGAGCGAGAGAGAGAGAGAGAGTGTGGAGAGAGAAAGCAAGAGAAGTGACTGATCGGAGCGGAGAGAGAGAGAAGTTGAAAAAAGAGGAGAGAGAGGGAAGCAAGATTATGCGAGCGAGGAGCAGAAGAGAGAGAGAGAGAGAGACAGAGGGAGGGAGAAAGAGAGCAGAGACAAAAAGATTTGAGAGAGGCCTTTACAACAAACAGCCACGACGCGACGCACGGCACGCACGCACGCACGCAATCTACTAGCAGCCCATCACGCACCACACACACACACACACACACACACGACACACACACACACACACACACAACACACAACACACACCACACACCACACACACACAACGACCACACACACATACACACACAACACATCACAACACACACACACACACACACACACACTACACAACACACACACACAACACGAACAACACACACACATCACAACACCCACACACACACACACACACAGTTCACCAACATCTGCATGAAGACTGCGTAGAGTGTCTTACAACTTTATTCGTTATCCGCCGATCATTCGCACTTTATTTATTGCATTTTAGTAAAGGTAACGAGTACCAGCGGCGCCACCTACCTTCTGGTTTTCCGGATTCAGCGGAAACGAAAGGATGTACTCGAGGGTGATGACGACAGCAAACATTGGATGTTCGGCAAGATCTTTAACCTGCAGCTTGCTGCGCAGAACGAGTGAAGAGCCACCAGCTCCACTGAAACGATCAGCGCCATCTATACACCAATTACCACACTACTAAGATGCTAACACAGAATAAAAACTAATATATCACACCTATATATTAATAACTCCAATACAGATGCAGTAAGCGACCTCTTTCAGTGCGGGAGGTTGTAGAAAATAGTAACCGTGATTTCAGTAACAGTAAATTGTTACTAGGAACAGTATACAGCAACCACATTGAGTTATCTTGGTCCGTGCACAAGTGTGCACTACTAGCATATGTTAGTTATGAAGTGTACCTGCTCAGTATAAACCACAGCAAGTATGGTGAGTGGAAACGCTTAGCAGCGGTCAGCACATTAAGAAAACCACAGTTTATTCACTGTGGAGTTTTTTTTTTTAGTTTATAACTGTGCTACCGTAGAAGTTAGTGCCACCTATACACCAATCACTGCATTACTAAGATGGTAAGCGCCACCTATATATTCATAAAAGCACTGCTTATGCAGAGATAACTCATAAATTTCATCTAGCATGGCAGGGTTCTGCCCACGGTGGGCGGCGGTGAGCGGGTGTGCCCGGCACTCGCGGTTGCCGCCCGGCACTATATATCTCCGCCCGTCACAAATTTTTGATATATATAAAAAAAATAAAAAGTCTGATATATGGGCTTTTTATTGCTCAGAATGCAGGAAATTGAGTTTCAGACTATCTAAAATTAAAAAATTTCCGGTGGGGCATGCCCCGGACCCCCCTAGATTGGCTTCGCGCCTACAGCGCTTGCATCTTCCGACTTCGTCGCAAGTGGATGCGCCCGGCACTAAAAAATACTGGGCAGAACCCTGCATGGGTATCCCACTTTGTCAGACACAAAAATGGTTAAAAACTAAGTGACTTTGTGTTCAACCCTTCTCTTGAAGAAACCATTTGCTTTGGGGCTCCTCGCTCCGATTTGCCACAGTGCACTAAACTCTCTGAGCAAACCTAAGGCAGCACTTGTCCTAGAAGATTGACGCTCACCCCTCAGGGCTGTAGACTGAGCAAATTCCTAGGGGGGGGGGCAGTGGCGGATCCAGGATTTCAAGGAGGGCGTGTGAAACAGGTGTGGGGTCGGGTGGTCCTCCCACAGCAAATTTTGAAAATGTAGATCGCAGGAGATGGTATTTGAGGCACATTTGAGTACATGTACAGCCTTCATTCTGACTACAACAATTCTCTTTTAGTAGAACTTTTTTTTTTTTGGCTCCAAAATCTAGAGTCATGCAGATAATTTGTAGCATACCCTGAGCCGTTGCTGAAGCTGCGGTTGTGATGTCTCAGACTCGCCTGTCTCACGCTGCCTCGCCGAGACAACTGGCTATCAGGTAACAAGTGCAGTATCTGCGGTTCATCCACGTAGCACCAGCCGTTGTGCACACCAACCTGTCCATGCAGAGAGAGTAGAGAGCGGAGAGAGAGAAGAGAGAGAGAGAGAGAGATAGAAAGAGAGAGAGAGAGAGAGAGAGAGAGAGAGAGAGAGAGAAGAGAGAGAGAGAGAGAGAGAGAGAGAGAGAGAGAAGAGAGAGAGAAGAGAGAGAGAGAGAGAGCAGAGAGAGCGAACGAGAGCGAGAGCGAGAGAGAGAGAGAGAGAGAGAGCGAGAGAGAGAGAGAGAGAGAGAGAGAGAAGAGAAGAAGAGAGAGAGAAGAGAGAGAGAGAGACAGCATGCATTATTACATACCTCCCACACTGTAGCGATTGTAATAATAACAATAATAACAATAATATTAATAATAATAATAATCACCATCATCATCATCATCATCATCATCATCAACATCATCATCGTGACATAACGCAATATAACAAAACATCATGCAACATGGGACAGCGTCACATAAGGGTAAGCATGGCATGACCCAATGATGCCTCATAGAGTCTATGTCCCCCAGGGTACTGCCGGAACGTACCCTGGGTACGGTTCGGTATACCGCGAACGTACCCTGGTAACTATATGATATGGTTAGGGTTAGGGGTTAGCTGTTAGGGTTAGGGTTAGGGTTAGGCAGTAGGCGTAGGCGACTCCCTACAATCGTTAGTGAGGTAGGCGAGGTAGTCCGGCATATTAGATAGTACCGCAGGACCGTTCCGGTTAACCGGACCGTACCCAGGGTACGTTTCCAGCAGTACCCTGGGGGACATAGACCGTCTCAGCCTCAATGATGACCCATTGTATATCATGAGATGGCATATAATATGACATAGCATGATGTAATACAACATAACCAACGTAATGTTGCGTAACATAATACAACGTATAACAACATAAAAGCATGGCATGCTACGACATTTGGTATAGCAACATGTGACATAACTAACAGACTGTCATGTGCCGCACAACACAACATGAAACAGTGCAGTACAGCCACCTCACCAGTCCATGACTCCACCTATTCCATGTAACTCTTTTGTTACACCAGATCTTGAGTGTATTATATTATATAATTTGGAATTTTAGATATAAAACAGAACAACACACTGTTTGTCACACACGCACGCACGCACGCACGCACGCACGCACGCACGCACGCACACACACACACACACACACACAGAGAACAAAATACAACCACAACAGCCATGTGCAACTATACACTTAGATACCTGCATACATATACTATCAGGGGTTAATATCTCAATTAGGTCATTTTTTATATGTATGTTATTAATCATTTTTGTCATTATTAACACCTGATACTATGTGTATCCAAGGTTTACCTTCAGTCGACGCTCGCTGATGGTGATGGTGCTGCCATCTGTCGGCGTGTTTGCACGATTCTGCCGATCGTCGTTGATGTGCAATATCAGACGCTCCTCGAACTCGGCGACGGAAGGATACAGCGTGATGCTCAGCTTCTCGATGATGCACGAGGTCTTCCTCATCAGCCGGGGCTTCAGCAGGGCATCTACGACAACGTGCAGAAACCACTTAGGCTGAGAGGTCTATGGCCCCCAGGGTACTATCGGATGGTACCCTGGGTACAATATCGTTATCGGAACTGTCCTGGTACTATCTAATATGCCGGACCGTACCTCGCCTACTCCACTAACGAGCTTAAGGAGTCGCGCACCGCCTACTCCCTAACCCTAACCCTAACCATATCAGATAGTTACCAGGTACCTCCGATGGTACCCTGGGGGACATAGACCCTATGAGCACCACTTAGCATGAATTAAAATTCAAGATCGTGCCCAGATACCATGCCGATGGAGATGGGTACCCGATCTCATATGAATGTACATATCATAAACTACCTGTGTGCCAATTGTCATGCTTTTGTCAAAAAGTGCACAATTCATCTGATTTATGGCTCTTAACTCCCATACTAATAGCAAGGGGGTGTGTCCATCTGCGCGTTTCACGACCCTGTAATACTCCAAGGGTAGAATGTGCTGCATTTTAGGGCAACGGAAAACCATTGCCTTCAGTTTAATCAGGAATTTTGGGACACCGGATCAAAGTTGGAGGGGCACTAAGGCAGACATTCCATTAATAGGAGAGGCAACGAACACTATTCCTAGACTTTTTTTTATGTAAAATCGTATGGGATACGTACACATCACATACGAGTTAATGACAGGGGCAGACATGATGAATAGGTATAACAGCCACCGCAGTTTATTGCCTTGGATATCGTCCAATTTTCCAGGACACAGGCAATAAGGAGGGCATTCACGGAACGTGGTAAAATTCTAGCTCTGATATTTCATCACACTGCATAATTCCTCTTACACCAAAGCAGACTTCAACGATTCCTCTCTTGGTAAACAATACTTAAAATATTTATTTGATGCTTCTAACATTAACGCCAACATTAACATTAACAGTACGCCCCCAGCATCCACTCATGAATATTTCAATGTGTCATATAATTGTGCTAATTAATGTCTGAAGTGCAATGCTAAACATCTCCTTAATGGCTGACATTGACTAATTACTCAAAATTTATATTTTTACCACTCAACCCATTCAACTATTTAAGTATTCAATTTAGGTTTTCTCTTTAATATTTATTCAAGTTAGTAATCGATTTCAGCATTAACGTTACTATTCAATTTCGTATTAACGACGTTAATGCATTAATTATGATTACATTAACACAGATCCCCGTGGTGGGTGCAGAAATGCACACTGACTGTAGGAGAGGCCCCGCCTGCAGTGTGAACCCCTCTAGAGCCCCAATCAATACACGATCAATGTTGGCTTTATTAATTACAGTGCGACTGCTCGCTTACTTGCTCTCTTGACCTGTGAGACTTGTTCACGGTGCCTACAAACACAATTATGTAACAGGACCACTTAGCACAGTCAGGCATGTATGTGAAGGTCACCTAGGGAAAACCTCAAACTACTTTACAGGTGTCAGTCCTACAGTGGGGCTTTCTCAGTACAACTGCCACTCGAGAGAGAACTATCAAAGCAGATCTCTGATCAAACCCATGGCAACACTGAACATTATTTATTATTA